ATTAGACTGTGTTCCAGCTAACCCTGCCCGCGCGGCCGGGGGCTGTCGCGGAACTCGCGGCGGCGCAGTGCGTTCGCCCCTTGGACCGCGTAGAGGGCGCCGGTGGCCGCGCCGCTCGGCCTTGTTCCCGGGATGCGCCCCTTGCGGGCCCGGCTCCCGCCCTGGCCGCCGCGTCTCCCTTGGCGCCGCGCTGGCCCTAGGCAGAGTTGATCATTGACAGGGCCCCGGTGGAAACTCGGCCTCGGGTGTCCGGCCGGGCCGGGGTTGGTGCCAGTGAGCCGGAGCGGGAGGCCCGGGGACGACGCAGGTGGGCAGTGGCGAGCAACCGTGCGCTCCCGGCTCCGTCCTCAGTTCGGTGCATTCCTGTGGACAGGTGCAGGAAAGCTGCTAGTTGGTGTAATCCCAACTACTGGAGTATTTCTCGCAAAAGGCTCCTTCAAAGCTAGGCTGTGGCCCGGCATGGTGGCGCACGCCTGTAATCCCAGCATTCGGGAGGCTGAGACAGGAGGGTCGTTTCAAGTTGGAGAGCAGCCTGGGCTACAAAGTGAGCTCAAGGCCAGCCTGAGCTGCATAGCGAGACCCTGTCTCAAAAAGACAAAAACCAAACAAACAGGCTGTGAAAGGCTGCCTGGCTGTGTGCTGCGGGGTAGAGTGCCCCTCCAGCTGTGGAGTTCTGCACATAGAGGACCCACCACAAACTGGTCCTTAGGTTTCCCCCCTAGTAGGTAAGGGGCCAGGAAACCAGAGTGGTGATCAGAAAGGGGTGTTGGCAGGTTGGGTGGAGGTAGCACCCTCAGTGCCAGTGGCCGATGGCTAGCTGTCCCTAGGCTGCTACCCCATGGGGTTGGGGGAGTGAGGGACATTTGAGAAGCTGTAGCTCTGTCCTGAAGTAGGTGTGAGGCATTAGAAGTTGTGAGTCACTTTTTAGGAGTCTCTCACTATTTAAGTCATTGGCTGGTTCTGGATTTTTGGCACAGCTTTGGGTCTCATGTTTCTCAACCCAACTTGTCAGGCCCTTAGTGCTGTCAGGAGGAGTTCCTATTTGGGACTCAGTCATTACTGAAGAAACATTCTCCTGTAGTGAGAAAATGAATGTATGATTCAGAAACCTCTAAAGACATGGGCACTAAGCAGGAAAACATGTATTCATGTGGTGGTGTGTCATTTTTTTTCTCTTACAGCTGTATGCAGACAAAGTTCCAAAGACAGCAGGTTGGTTCTGTTTTCTAAAGTTCAACAAATGTATTCCAATTATGAGGGTTTTGTGTGTGTGTGTGTATTTATTATTTTTATACACATATATATATATATATTTTTTTTTAACAGAAAACTTTCGTGCTCTGAGCACTGGAGAGAAAGGATTTGGTTATAAGGGTTCCTGCTTTCACAGAATTATTCCAGGATTTATGTGCCAGGTACAAAATGAACTGTTTACTTAGGTTGGTCCCTTAGGGGTTGAGTCATTATTTCAGGATGCAGCTTGCTGAGCTGTTGTCTGTTTCACTTGTGCTCATCCCCTCTGCACAGTTTCAAAGTTTGAGCCTTGTAGACTTGGCGTGATTTCTGATTGTATTGCCGGAAGTGACAGGTTCTTGTCATGTTTGCAGGGTGGTGACTTCACACGCCACAATGGCACTGGCGGCAAGTCCATCTATGGGGAGAAATTTGATGACGAGAACTTCATCTTGAAGCACACGGGTCCTGGCATCTTGTCTATGGCAAATGCTGGGCCAAACACAAACGGTTCCCAGTTTTTCATCTGCACTGCCAAGACTGAGTGGTAAGCACAGGGCACAGGCGCACCCCGCAAGGCTGGAGTGAAGGGTGGTGCTGCACAGCAGCGGTTTAGCTTTCCCTGGTGTTCGCATCCCTGAGGTGTCGGGAGAAGAGAAGGCTTAGGGATGGCTTTAGCCAGTGTGGTAACAGCACGATACTGGGAACAGCAACTTGGTTTGGCTGCTTTTTCTATTTTTGAGATTGGCTCATAGTAAATTTCGTGTGTTACTACTTGAGAAAGCCAGCTGGGTAACGGCCAGCGTTTGCTGGGAGGTTGGGCTGGCCACCCCACTGGCAGGCCGGGTTGACTGGGGCCCTGCTCATCTGAGTGTGGCCCCGAGCTTAACCCCCTGCTTCCAGGCTGGACGGCAAGCACGTGGTCTTCGGGAAGGTGAAAGAGGGCATGAACACGGTGGAGGCCATGGAGCGCTTCGGGTCCAGGAACGGCAAGACCAGCAAGAAGATCACCATCACCGACTGTGGACAGCTCTAACGTGTGTGACTTGTATCGCCATCACCAGACCATTCCTCTAGCTCAGGAGAGCACCCTGCGCCCCACCTGCTCAAAACACCCCATCATCTCTGCTCTTACTGCACTTCTCTGGGTTCCATATTTTCCTTGCTCCCCTCCAAATGAGCTGGATTGCAGAGTTAAGTTTATGGTTATGAATAAAAACTAAATGATGGTTGTCTTTTCTTGCTTGGGTTAGGGTGATGTAGGAAGCACTGCTGAGACCAGCTTCCCGTGGAGTGCTTTGGTTTTGCCTTTCCTAACCCAAGAAATACTAAGTTCACTGAGTTTGGCAGGTCTCTGAGAAACGGATGGGTGCTACTGTGAGCCGTGGTGTTGTGTGTGAAGTTAGCAGATGAGCTCTGCTTGGTTGGGAGAAGGCCTAAGGGCTGGGAAGCTGGACAGTACAGGCCCCTGCAGTCTCAGAAATGGCCAGCTGTGGTTCTTGTGGGTGGCATTATTCCAAAATCCAACTGCTCTAGGCACCATCTGTATCTCTGGGTCTGGTGTTGAGCTTGCCTCTTGGGACCAATTTTTCACCTGAAGCTCTGCTGGGAAAGAGAAATTTCCAGCACAGATTGGGAGAGCCTGTTCTGAGGGCTGTTGCTCAGACTGAGGAGGGCCCTCACCCGTGGGAGAGGGAGCTGGGCAGGGTACTCGAGGGCCTGCTCACAGGAATACAGCAGTTACCAGGTCAGTCTGTACTAGTAGGGACCGGGTTGATGACGCTGGCACCTGGAAGTGGGGTCATAGCCTTGCTTAGAAGGGCAGAGCCCTGGGTACAGTTTCTCAGCATGAAGCTAGGATACTTTGGGGCTTTCTGTAGCAGTAGATACTGGTGCTTCGTCCACTTTTGGGGGATCGTCCCAGAGATGGGTTTTCTTGAGACAGTGTCACTGCAGTTCAGGCTGTCCTTGAGCGCACCTTTGTAGCCCAGGCTGATTTTGAGCTTGTAATGACCCACCTGCCTCAGCCTTGGAAGTGCTGAGATCTTGGTCCTGGATATGGAAGCCAGAGTTTTTGCACTAAGGAACTTGCTCTGGCATTTTGTGTGCCACAAATTGCCCATGGTGCTGCTCCTGCCTCATCTCCCAGCATGTTGGGGATACATGCACCACCACCACCAATTTCCAGCAGTGACCTGGGGAACCCTCCCTGATCATGTGTTCCTCTGCCCATACTAGGGTTGACTTCTGTTTGTGCACATCTAACATGTGTCCCCCAGAACGTTGCTGAGCTTTGAGAACTTAAGAAGCAAGGGAGAAAGAGCACAGTTGCTGTCGCCTTGAGGACTGGAGAGTTGGGTTTGTCTGGTGCCTAATTGTGCTCAGGAAATCTGTGAAAGCTACAAAACCTAGAGGAACAGTTCCTTGGTCCCTAGGATGGGTTTTTTAGAATTAGATTAATTTTTTTTTTTTTTTTTGCCTTTTTGAGACAGGGTCTTGGTATGTAGTTCAGGCTAGCCTTGAGCTCACTTTGTAACCCAGGCTGGTCTCAAACTCGCAACGATTCCCCAGCCTCAGCCTTCCCGGTGCTGGGATTATAGGTGTGCGCCACCATGCCCGGCCAGTGTAAGTGGCTTACAATTGTCTGTCTCTGCTAGCCCTGAGATCCATCTTACGTTACACATTACACTGAAGAGGGAGGGAGGGAAGGGAGAAGCAGCAGCCCTGACTGGCTCATCCCAGGAACACTGCAGGTGTGAACTCTGCAGGGCTCATGCTGCAGACTAGCTTGGGACATGCGTGCTGTGACTTGTGAGCTCCTGCTGTGCTGCCCTTTCCCCTGGACGGCAGGCTGTCACAGTTCTTTGGAGCAGGATGAGATGTCAGTTGAGATCCAAGCCCATGTTACCAAGATCCAGCTGGGGCTGGGTGTGGTGCTCACGCCTGTGATCCCAGGATTTGGGAGGCTGAGGCAGGAAGATTGCCGAGTTCAAAGGCAGCCCAAACTACAGAACAAAACAAAAACAAGATCCAGCTGCACTCTTCCTCTCCCAGCTCATCCTCCACACCACTGCAGCCCTCCACCTCGCCCCTGAGTAAGGATCCCCAGTCGCCCAGTGCCTTCCCCAGCTGCCTGGCCTATCGGGGCCGGTTGTCCTCTGGTTGTTGCCCTCTTTTCTCCTGTTCCGCTTCCACCCCCGAGCTTCCCGAGTCTTGACTTTCTTCACCTGTAAAGTGAGGTTGGTGTATTTCTCGGAACTATTCAGGAGGTTAATGAGGTAAACCTACATAAGCCACAGAAGTGTTCAGTGGCCTGCCCTGTGTACAGGAAGCAATGCTGCGTGGCAGAGCTCAGCTTGTGCTCAGCTTTGCTTGCCCTAGGTCCACGGCCCTGGGTGTGGAAGCCTCTTCCACTGTCGGGACAGTGATGTGACCTGATCCCAATCCCTTCCTGCATGGAGGTGGGACTTTGCCAGGCCCCAGGCTGTGGGTGCCCGTGGGTGGCCAGGGCCAGTCAGGTAACTTCAGAAGCTGAAAGCGAATCTCTGGAGATTGCTCAGCTCAGCCGCCGCCGTTTATGTGGAGCATGTGTAATTCTGTCCTGTAAACCAGCAGCGAGTTTCCCATCAGAAAGCTGACCTTAGGCTACAAGTGCACAAGCAGTGTAGGAGTTCTCGCCACCACTGCTGTGCTGCCTGCTCAGTGTCTGCTGAGCAACAGTATGGGGAAAATGTAAGAAAAACTAAAACTGGCAAAGATAAGCAATTAGCTTGTTTTTCCTGTCATTTGGGAAAAAAACAACATTCAATACTCAATTTTATTATTATGTAATATACTCACCCAGGTAATGTATCAATGGAAAAATAGTGTGGGAACCCCGTTGGTGGGCAACCCCATCACATTTGTCCATAGAATGAATTATCTTTCTTTGATTCTGTTGAGACAGGATCTCGAACTCACTGTGCAGCCCAGGTTGGCCTCAGAGTCACGGTGGCGATCCTCCTGCCTCCGGCTGCTGGGTGCTGAGATTACAGGTGTGGGCTGCCACGTGATGAGAACCAGCCCGTTTGCTCTGGTGACCAGCTGTGCGTGAGTGGCCCTCTGTGCAAATGTCCTGGGGAGCTCATGGGAGTTTTGTGTCACATCTAACGTACAGGCCATCTTTGGCAAAGAGCTCATATTTTTGGATTTGCTAATTCCCATGTGTTCCTTTCAAAGACTGATGACACACATAGTAATTTGGAGTTTTCTAAGTACAGCATTTGGATCCTGGGGAGAAGATGAACATACGCAACTAGTTGCCAGGCACCCCTATTTTAACACAGCTATTTTCTGCCTGATTGCGCAGCCCCCAGGAACGGGATGCTCCTCCAGAGTGCTGCAATGCAGTTCCTGTCTGGGGACACAGGAGCTACCTGGGAGCCCTCACTGCCACCGTCCTGACAGACACACACCGCTCGCTCGGGATGGCCCATTCAGCGGTAGCCTTCTAAGCAGCTGGCCAGAGGTGCAGCTCCCACCCTTCAGGATGGAACTGGGGACTGAAACACAGCCTTTGACTGAGCTCTATCCTCAGCTGTTATTTTTTGAGACAGGGTCTCACTAAGTCACAGAGTTACCCAGGCTGGGCTGGAGCTTTCTTTTTTCTTTTTTTTTTTTTCCTGTCCTTTTGAGATGGGATCTCACTATGCAGTTCAGGCTGGCCTTGAGCTCACTTTGTAGCCCAGGCTGGTCTCGAACTCACAACAATCCTCCTGCCTCAGCCTCCCTAGTGCTGAGATTACAGGTGTGCGCCACCATGCCCAGCAAGGACTGGAGCTTTCGATCTTCCTGCCTCAGCTCCCAGAGTGCAGGGATTATAGGGGTACACCACCATACTCAGCTCATGTTCTGCATTTTGAGTTTAACATGCTTGCATTCTCACTATTCTAGCAATACAGGCTTTGCTTAGAAATGCTGACTGAGCTAGGCATGGTGGCGCACACTTGTAATCCCACCACTTGGGAGGCTGAGGCAGGAGGATTGTTGTGAGTTCAAGACGAGCCTGCACTACAAAGGCCAGTCTGAACTGCAGAGTGAGATCCTGTCTCAAAAAGACAAAGGAAAAAAAAAAGAAAGGCAGTCAGGCAGTGTAATGGTTGATACTTTGAGTCAACCTGAGACGAGTTTTTTTTTGGTACCAGGAATCAAACTTAGGACCTTGGGCTGGGGATGTAGCTCAGCGGTACAAGTGCCTGCCTGGCAAGTGCAAGGTCCTGAGTTCGATTCCTAATACCAAAAAAAAAAACTTAGGACCTTGTGCTTGCCACTGAGCTACATCCCTGGCCCCACTGTGTCAACTTAAGAAGCACAGAAGCTTAACTAAGTGACTCAGCTGTTCTGCATCCAAGGGCATGCCCTAGGGTGGCTATTTACTCCCTAGGATGTTGTAATGGTTGATTCCTTACATCAACTTGGGAAGTTTAGAAGTTTAAGTGACTCAGCAGGGGCCAGGGTCCTCACTTGTAACATCTTTATCCTGTGCAGGAGGGCAGGGAGATGGTGTGAGGGCCACACCCAACCGAGGAGGGGTAGCCTGCATGCAACAGGGAGAGGCTTGCTCTGCCCCACTTTGGCTCTTGTTGCCTTTGCTATCTTCTGCCGCCTTGAACCGTTGCCCCCTCAGCCATGCTACCCTGCCTTGGAGCCAACTGAGTATGGACTGAAACCTGCACAAAGCTTCCTTAATTTTGGGCGTCAGGTATTTTGTCTCAGCAACGAGAGGAAAGTAACCAGCAAAGGCAGGCTGACTGAAAACAAAGGCTGTGCAGGGCTTTCAGGGGCCTCCAGCTTTTGGGGTGCAGCACTGAGGCACGGTGCCTGTGCTTGCTGGCTTGGAGGAGGACGAGGGGAAGCCACTCAGCTAGGAAGCGCCAGTGACCGAGTCCAGGGCCATGGACCCCAGGCCTGCCTATCACCTCTGAGACCTAGGCCTCTGCTTAGGAGCAAGCTGTCAAGCTGGGCCTGGGGAGGCCCAGGGACCCTCGCTGCCTGGTGCCTCACACAGCTGGCTCTGAGGTGAGGCCCTGCTTCCCACACAGCTTTCAGGGTCCCTTCTACCTTCTGGGACCCAAGGGGCACCTCAGAGCTCCCCAGCTCCTGTGTCCTCTTCTGCTTCTCAGGGCTCATGGGGGAGGTGGTCATCAGCTTATTCCTGTTTGTGTGTTTTTTTTTGAGACAGGGTCTTGCT